ACAAAAGCAGTCTTGATTACAAACAGAAAGCAGAAGGTGACTTCGAATGTGAAAGAGAGCGACCTTGTAACAATTTGCAACATGCTAGAATTTGACTACAATTTAGCTGACATAAAGCTGCACATTCTCAAAATCCTACGGTGCAACCACTTGGTAACTGAACGAAGCAACGACGAAGCTGGTAGATGTGATGACGAATACGACGAGAACAACGATGCTGAAAACGACGACAACGAGAGTAGCCACGATGTGGAGAGCAACAGGAAGCTTAGCGAAAATAAGGGGAAATTTAAAACTACTACAGTTTCCCTATGGGTACGAGAGAAAAGACGATGAAGAAAGTGTAAACAAATCGAACGCGAGAGGCAACGATGTGTGCATAAGTAGTTTTGTTAGTCGGCGTTCACATGGGGACTCTTTTGTCGCTCATATTTTGGTGTCGCTCTGTGCGTTGTGTGTTGCATATTTTATTTGCATGTTGGTATGGTGGTCTCACATTTATCTTACAATTGATTACATACCAAATGTAGATAACAAAGTTCAAATTTCGTATATATTCATACGAAACATAGAGGACTCAATAAGAATTTTTGATGTTTCTAATAAGATTAAAATATACTTATAGGTAGAATTATGGACAAGCACTTCAGATGCAATGGGACAGTTTACAAAAGTTAGTGTTCCAAATCATTTGTGCTAAGTGAATGAGGCTTAAAATTGTGACATACTTTTATCAGGAAAAGTTTCTCACGGAATTTCAATTATATATCTCACACATTGATTGATTTTTTCGACAAAAAGTCAACGATAGGCTGTGGGGTCCACATTTCCGGAATCCTGGGCTTGAATAGTTTAGGTCCAATTTGTAATATTCGTGATTTATACTCTGAAAAGTGAAAGAATCATAAGTAATTCAAAATTTTGTTATATGGGAAGTAGACGTGGTTGCAGTCCGATTTCGCCCATTTTCTGTATTTTCTGTAAAATGGGCATGTCAAAATAGTTCTGTGTGTTCCGGAGATTTGTGATTTCAATTAAATGTGGGCGGTGCCATGCCCATCGTCTAATTTTGGCACGTGCTCCTCTTGTGCCATCATGGATTTAAAATTTAGTGTCTATGAGGCATTTAGATGTTGATTAATAGTACTTTTAGTGATTTTTAACAAAACCGTTATATGGGGAGTGAGTGTGGTTATCATCCTATTTCACTTACTTTCACGCTGTCGCAAGAAGGTTCGAAATAATTTGTACTGTGCGAATTTGGGTGATGTAGCTTGAATGGCTTCAAATCACAGATGCCCCTCATTATTGTGGTTCGTTGTGCTAAATTACAGATTTATATCTTAATTTGCGGCTTAGAGTGCTTAGTTAATTTTGAAGTGTTTATATGATGTAACTATTGAGAATAACATTGAGATGTTACCTAACCAATTTCTGCTAGTTTTCAGTTTCTTTGCTTTTTTGTAATATGACTCTTTTTGAGACTATCTTGTGAATTTTCGCATTCTTCTTCTTGCTGATAACTAGCAGCTACTAACCATTCAGAAACAAACCTGTTATGTATTTTAATTCAGTTTTGAACGATCTCTTTTTTATTTCAGGTAAAACTCGCACGAAGGATAAATATCGAGTGGTATATAACGATTTTCAGCGATTAGAGCTTGAAAAGGAATATTGTACATCACGATACATAACTATACGACGTAAAACTGAGTTGGCTCAAATTCTTTCTTTATCCGAAAGGCAAGTGAAGATTTGGTTTCAAAATAGAAGGGCTAAAGAACGAAAACAAAATAAAAAAAGTGCCGATACTTCCATACTGGCTGGTACAGCTTCTCAATGTGACCACCCGAATTCAATTGTCCCAAAGCCGAAAATAGAACCAGGCCTTCACCTCCACCACACTTTACATTCAATGACGACTATAAATATGCCAAACATTGGCTTGCACCGCATAAGTCATCACCATCCATTTGCAGCAGGGGTCCCACCTTCACATCCATTGCATTCACAACATGCATCTTTGTCAGCAGCTGTAGCAACATCAATGCCACTTTGACAATACTGCAATCACATTTTAAAATAGTCAACATATAATATCACAATATAACAAAACATGCAATAAAATTTTTGTAATAGTTTTACGGTATGAAACCACCGAAAACAGTTTTAAAAATAAAGATCTAAATATAAAAGAAAACACGAAATACACTTAAAGAGCTCTTACTCTTATTATCTTAACCATTATTTCCCATATTATAGGTAGATTGCCCTTTACATTTCGAAACAGAAAAAACATTTTGACATACGAGCGCTTTTTGTGTTGTTTACAGTAACTTAATATATCATCTCCCCCAAAAAATGGAATTAGTTCGCGAACATTTTCGCACGACTATGTTTTATAACTTTTGACGTGGATTAACTTTGGACGAACTTAATTAAACTTCTGGAGATGAACTTCCATTAAATACCAGTGTTTATTGATGTTGATCATTCGAATTCGTAGATCACTTCAAGACAAATTTATTGAAGGTCATCCAAAATCAATTATTGTTCCGGAAACTAATGATGCTGATTTTGCAAAATCGTCATGTCACCTATCGTGAGATTGAGACAACTATATGAATTATTGGGACCAACATACATTAAATACTGCAAAAAGGTTTGTTGACGTTGAATCCCACACAATTTGTCAATCGTTCAAAAAATGACTTGTGGCGATTGGTCGAGAGAAATATTAAAAAATACGATAGCGTGGACTTTACGCATATGAGCCCCAAAAGTAAACAGCAGTCGATCTTATGGGTGTTTCTAGTTGAGCCGAATCCAACAAACGTTGTTCACGCACGAAGCACTTCTAAACAAATAGTTGCCTGTTTTTTTTTGGAAAAATTGGACATGCCATTGGACACCCATACCATGCAGAACAGTAAATTCTGAGTGGTACACTATAATTTTTTTGCTAGTAAGAAATCCGTACGTAAAAAATAAACTAAGAAGTCAACGTTTTTCGACACCTGAAGAGGCGATTGATGCGATCAGAACGCATGTTTTGGAGATACCTCAATCAGAGTGGCAAAAGTGCTTCGACAATTGGTTCAAGCGCATGCAAAAGTGTATATATTTTAATGGAGAATACCTAGAAAAACAATAAAGCGATTTCCTATTATCAATATTTGTTTTGGTTCTCTAATCCCGAAATATAAAAATCAACCCACGTATATTAAAGTATAAATAAGTATAGAAAATACTCCCCGGAGATAAGACGTGATTGGAATTAACACAATTCAATATTATCTGATAAAATATTACAACTACGACACGAAGTTTAATTTCCTATACAAAACGAAATTTAGAAAAATTATTCGAGTTTGTTTCTTCTTTGATAAATAAATTAAACAGAAGGTCAATGCAATTTGAAAAATATTTCAATAAAGAGACAATTCTTTAGCGACGATATCTTTGTCGATGTTATACTTGTATAATATTTTACGAAGTCAAATTAGGCCACGAATCACAAAAAGATTGTCCTATCTCTTTTGGAGGTATTCGAACTTATGGAACTTTCGCACTTTGCTAGAAGCAAATCAAATTAGTCCACGGGCCACAAAAAGATTGTCTTATCTTTTTTGGAGGTATCCGAACGTTTGAACTTTCGCTATTTGCCAGAATCAAAAATGGGAAATATTTCCCAAGCTAGGGAAAATATTTTCTTCCGGCATTTCTTAAAATAGTATGAAAAAGGATTATATGGAATATTGGCCATGTCTACACACAAAAGAAAGATTGATGATATGATTGAGTCAAAAAGATAATGCGGCAGGTTTGCATGCGAATCGGTATAGAAATTTGATAAAGGACGTGGAAATTTCATATCTAAACCAATTAAAGGTTAGTACAAACATTTTTTTATTCATGCGTCTGTTACGATATCTAAATAAAACTTTGCGCAGATGCCTACAAGGTTTGATACGTCTTTTCTAAAAATGGGGGAGTGGCGAGGCATTATCACGAGGATACTGAACATAAGACGCTATTAAAAATTGATGAAATCTTATATACTATCACTAGTCACTTTATACATAATATAATGATTTTCGTACTTTCGTTTGAATTTATACCGTGTCTTGGGTATACTGCAACTTGGTGGAGCAAATGGAAGCAATACATCAGTGAATTATTTAAACATCCATTTGGTGCATGTATGATAGAGTACATACTTGTATGTACATAATAATTTACGTGTAAATAGGCTAAAAAGTCTTTGCCTTGTCCAAGAGATTATTTTCTTAGAGTACTAACCCGTTTCAAAATTATTGGTCCCAAAGTAACGCTCTTTTCTGTTTTTTCATTTACGGAAAACAATTGAATTTCGTGTATTGTCTTGATTCCTAATATAACAATAGGAAGGTGCTAAATTCGAGTTTAACCGAACATTTTATACACTTGTAACTTGCCGGGATCAACGCCGGTAAAATATTTCTAGGTTTTGGCAAAACTTTATATTAAAATATGTTGCGAAAGAATTCAATATTCATTATTCGACGAAGTCGTGAATGGAAAACAATCAAATTTTGTATCTTATTAATTTATAATAAGCGTCATGTACTCAGTTTTATTAATGAACAAAAATTATATTAAAATCATCCTTAAATGATAAATATGTGATATAAACTCAACCGAAGAGGCTAAATTCAACTAATATATTAAGTTGGTGTGGAAAACGTCAACCAGAGGATCGAAATTCTTTATATTAGGGATATGAGGTTTAGACCACGGTCTAGATCAATTCCGTGGTAAACCACATAACTTTAAGGAAACTTATACATTTAATTTCATTAAAATATCACATATTTTGACCAACTTGTACGGTTTAAAGTCAGAAATTATTATATATACTATATTGGGGCAGAGAAAAAGAAGCATTAATTTGGACATTGCTCAGGTATACTTGAAAACATATTGTATTTTAACGCAGTTTTATAAATATACTCACTGACCCAGTAAACGTTGTTTTTCCATATACGTTATTTTTGGTTTGGATGACACCAATTCCTTGGCAACAACTGTTGTATCATTGAATTTAATCCATTTTTTGCTGCCAAAATCGCTCTTTCTGCCAACCATTCAAGATTTTTATATTTTGAGTGTTCAATGGGAAATATAATATATTGTCGATGAGAGTATTTCGTGAGTTGATGGTCGTCGGTAAATTTTTGCATCCAATATTTTCATGTTCACAAACTTTTCTATTCCCAATATCTAATAGTTGTTTTCAGAAAATTTCGATAGATGAATCTCGAAGCATATGAACGCGCATGTTCACTGTCAGTTGTACCTTTTCAATATTACGCCACAGTCACGATAATTTTAAGCAAGCATTGATCTCAGCGGCGTACGTTGAGCGTGTTTGAAATAACCTGAAAGAAGTAACAGTTGGTTTCAGCACTGTGGCCATGGACGATTGTTTTTTATGTTGCACAATGAATCTGGATTATTATATTTTGAATGTTTAATAGCAGCTTATGTAAATGCTCACCATCTAATAAAGAGGCTGCAATGCTAGATGATGCCATTTTTGATCGTATCTCAGCAAGATATATCGAAATGAAGAATGTTTTTCCACTTCCACCTTGTGCGTCAAAAAAAAAGATTTCCCCTTGTACTGCCGAAACTGCCAGCATAGAGCGGTCGGAATACCATGTTCCGACCGACATTTATTCACGAGATTAAGGTTGTGTTAAATTTCCCTACTGATAAATAGATGGCGCTAAATCAGAGTCGCATAGGGGGTTTCGAGTAGATTAGCTTCAAGCTCCTTGGTGACGAGATTAACAAGTGTCATTTTGGTATAGCGAAGTATTGATAAATCTAGCAGATTAGTGAAATAATCTACTCAACAGCCTAAATCTCGTAATTACGTGTCGGTCGAAACATAATATTAGACACTACAAAGTGTAAAAAAATGTACACAAACAAATAAATTAAAAGCAAAGCAACTGAATTCACCGGGCAGTCGACCTCCCAATTCAATATGCGTCCAATATTTCCATTAAATGGAAAATATATTAAAAAATACGACTTTTATAACAAAATACAACAGTACAATGTTTTCTTTCAATAAATAATAAATGATGTTAGGACAGTCTAGATTAGTGAATAGATTCAATGTAATCTAATCACTTAAAGTGTTAGGTCTTCATATTGCATAAGTTAATTTTTGTTCTGTGGGGGTAATTCGTATGTATGATATAAGGCCAACCGGATGTTTGAAAATTGTTTATTAAGTAAATGAGGTCTAAGGAATGTATTGACCAGATTTTATCTAGGTTTGACAATATCGCATACTATTAACATGCCACATACTAATAATATGCTTGGGGGATAAGGCAAGTTTTCATCCGATTTTATCCATTTTAGGCACAAAAATACTTTGTTATTGGTAAAACACGCTCTCTCGTTTTCACTAAGATTTTGACAATTTTTGATCATAAGGTGGCCGAATTTAACCGCACTATTCGGGCAAAGTTTTATCGCGATACATATATTGATGCTAGATTTGTATACTGGAAAGTGAAAGAATCAGATGGAATTAAAATTTGGTTATTTGGGAAGTAAGCGTGGTTGTAGTCCGATTTCGCCCATCTTCGCTCTAAAACATAGGAATGTCAAAGTAGTCATACTATGATCTCCGTACAAAATGTGTACTGCAATGAAAGATCATGAAACCATGTACCAACTTAGTGACACACACAGTTTTCTATGAGTTTGACACTCATCAGCTGCTGCAAAAAATTTAAATCAACTAAAAAAATATATATAAACCAGATCGTGATCATTTGTATATATGTATATAACCTTATATCTATTTCGATTAGGTTTAGGTGATACAAACAACCATTAGGTGAACAAAACTATTATACTCTATATAACTATCATTAACGCAAGACAATTGATAAGTGTGAACTAGCGGTATGCTAGATTTTGTCTCTAGCGACTGCTTCCGATTTCCCACGCACAAAAAATGGTTCGCTGGAAGAACATTTCACTCAAGTGATGAGGATAAAATAGAAACAAAATACTTATATTGAATGCCTCGAAGTTTTACGACTCGCATTGAGCTTGCGACCGAAAGGATCTTCTCTGCTTTCATATCAACACAACATATTCTTCACCAGTACTTTATCTCATGCGCGCAACAATCACAATCCAGTATACACAATACTAATGAGCAGTTTTTAGTAAAATGCAAAATCATATTTGCGTTCGTAGCGTAGCTGTCTGCCGAAGTGTCACCGTGTTAATACTTTACAAAATTGTAACGTTGCCGCTAGATATAGCTGCTCTAGATATAGAGTGTGACGAAAAATAAAATGAAAATCTATCAGAATACGTAGATAATCATCGCTCTGAAGGAAGCTGCGCTCTGGAGCAGTAGACCTGCTGCTACCTTTATGGTAACTACTTCTCCGCTTGGAAGGCGCAACAATGGTTAAAATGCTTAAATTTGGTGTTGATAGATACTTTCCGACACTACTCCACCAATTCTCCCTGCGACTCCTACCATCCCATACCTCCCTCAAATCTCGAAGGTATGTCAGAAAAGAAAATCATACTAAGGCTGAGCTTGGCGATCTGGTAATCCAAGTATTTTAAAAGGAGATATAAGTGTGCGGGCATTCTAGAGGCCCAGACTCGAAGTCATCTAAGTGCCTAGATCCCTTAAGTCTGGGCGCCTATTTCGGGGCCATACACCTTCCAGCTATGTTCACGGGTGCTATGTTCATTAAAAAATTGTGTGCCATAGTTGTGGTGCATAGTGCACCGCCTTCCACCACTTAAAAATTTCATAAAATACTTGTATAGGTTGACATAGAGCGTAAGAACTACTTCTGGTGAGATGAGGTCTCTTTTACCAATATCCTTTTGAGCTTCCTGTCTAAGATTTTCCCAAGTCTCTTCCAGAAGCTTTGTTGCTTACGATGCTGAGGTGCTCCTGAGTCAGCATTTTAGAAATTTTCCCTCAGCCGTGAAAGCTACGTCGTGTGCATATGGAATCACCCGGCAGACAGCTACTTAAAGTGGATAGAGAACTCCCCTCTAGTAACATTCCCACCTCGATATCGATGAGAGTTCCACTATAAATTGACCCTCCTAGCCAAGGAACAACGGTGTGCAAGGCAGTGTGTACTGATCTGACTGTGCTATAGGTCTGTTGTGCCCTTTTAAATTGATTTATTTCATTAGTACTCCTTATGTGCAGATCAATTAGTCTTTCTATCAGAGATAAAGAGATGTATAACTCTCATGTCATAGGAAGTGAGGGCGTAAACCCCCTCCTTAACTTTGACGTTTTGCAATTGGAACAGCCAGATTGAAATAAAGGGATTTGTTGGCGCCGATCAAGATCACTAATTAAAAATGTAAAACAATATATATTAAAGAAAACGCAAAATTTTAATGTATTTGATGAAATCTTTTGTGATTTGATGTATCATAATTTAAATTTTCAATTTCAAATAACTACAAAACATTTATTAATTGAGAGCTATAAAGTTTAAATAACTTTATTACGTATTGCAAAATCAGAAGTCAGTTGTTTAATGTATCATAAAATCGTAAAAAATATTTAGATATATTAAAAGGCCAACGTATAATAATTTTTTATCATAAAGTTGGGCATCCCTTCATCCCTGCTTTATATTATATGAATTTCAATGGGAATGAGGTTAGAGAGATTTGAAATCCTTAGCCTCGACTTACGAGCTTCTTCTGGCCTAAGAAATGAAATCATCCCCAACTTGCATCCAAGCTGCATCAAATGCAATTCGCATAGATGAATGAAAGCAAGTTGCATGAAAGCTTGACAGACCGTTGTAATTGCGCTGGTATAATGCCATCAGACTTAGGGGACTTAAAACCGCGCTACCCCAGATTGTGTGGCTCCAGTTAGCGCAGGAACCAAAAATGATAATGGTTCATCTCTGCAGCGGTTCCTTCAGGGTCTGTCTTAATAGCTTGTGAGGTTGTTTCCCATTGTCTTTAGGCAACCTGTCGGCCGAAATCAGCCAAAACCTTCCAGCTTCGCCCTTTGTTTTGATAGGGACTTTCAACTCATTTCGTACTACCAAAAAAGTTCTCGTTCTACCTACGTCACTGCACGCCAACAGCTTATGGCTTTTCGTCCTCAATCCAGAAACTTCCCGTTCTATATTTGCGGATGGAGCCTTTGCATGTTGGGAATTAACTTGAAGAAAGTTCATCCTTCAGGCTTCTCGTCAAAAGTGGTAGTTCATCGCCTGAATATTTTCGTACAAAATTTATTGGGGAGTATACCCTACTGGGATATTCACTTCACTTACGTCACTTAGAATCGCTTTAATTAGTTAAATGAAAATGCCATTTATTTCGTGCGAAAGATTTTATTAAAAAAAAACAGGTATTATTTTATTAAACAGGTAATTATAAATTATTTAATAAAGGAGGATCGAGTAACTGTCCGAATGGAACCCGCAGTAAAAAAGTCCGGAGCGATGTTGAACGACGTGGTATAAACGAAAGAGGTAACGTGGCGATCAGCCCGTAAACGATAAACGAGTGTTTTTGCGAATGACTAGGATCGCTGTATAAGCGGTCTAATAAGCAATGATAACACCACCACTTACGTGCCACTTTAACTCCGCGTATGCAAATTAAATTAGAATTGTATGTTTTCCGTATCAAAAATGTTCACAAAATTTGTTGATTTATGAATAATTATAAAAGGATTATCTTCAGGCAATCACTCCCTGGTCGCATACCAGTGGAGAGGTAATAAAAGTATATAAAAATTATCGATGATAAAAGCGAGCCAAGAAAATGAGGTTACTCGCGCGCCAAAAGAAAGTTCGGTGTTTTTTACTCGACAGTCGCTGAGAGAAGGGGCTGTCGGAAGATAGATGTTTTGTACTGTGTGTTGTGTAGAGATCCTACTGTGTGTGTGTGTATGCGGCTGCTTCCAGTAGTGAAATGCATTTGTATGTGTTGTGTGGTGTATGGGTGTTCTGATGTTTCCAGGTGTGGGGTGTGTGTCAGTGTTGTCTTGTGAGTGGTGTGTTGAGTTTTTCGGGGCGGGAAGCTTAACTCATTTAGCCATCCCGGCCCCCCTAGGCGAATGTTCAGCCTAGCAGTCGCTGTAGCTGTTGCAACGTTGCCACAACGTTGCTGAGTCCGGTCGTGCGACGATAGTGCGGCCTACGCCTAGTCGGTGTTGTGTTTTGTTGACGCCATGGACGGATCTGGTGGAGACGGAAAGGCTGCGGTTGCTCGAAGGTTGACGGTGCGGTTGCGGCTGGTGTTCGGGGGGCCGCGGTTGGCATAACCCCAGGGCGAGGCACACTGATGGCCGATCGCATTGTTGGCGTTGGGGTGGAATGCATTTCTGTATCCATATCTACCTGTATGGAGAAAAGGGCGTGTTTAGTTACGATTCAGTGGTATAGAGTATGGATATCTTCCTATATGTAACCAACTTTATTTGGTTTGGTGATCATATTAGTGTACCCATTATTTTATTAGTATATATGATTGTAATTTGTCATATTATATTTGCGGTTTTTTATTTCTGTTTTCGGTTATTTAGACGAATATTTTGATTTTCGCTTGTAGGTATTATTGAACGGATGGTTTACTACATGCGTTTTCGCTATTATTTGAGATTGGCAGGAAGCATAGTTTAACGAGCGGTCTAGTTAGCGTTCCGTTTGGAGTACGGAGGTCAACTACTCGTATATGACCGCCGGAACCATGATGTAGCTTCTCTATGCAACCAAGTCGCCATTCTGTAGGGGGAAGACAATCGCCATTAATTAAGAAAAATCTCCAAGCTTTGGCGATTTTTCGGGAGTTTTCCAGCGGTACCTTTTATGAGGTCCTTTATATACTCCGCCTTCCATCGGCGGCTGAAATCATGATGGAGAATTTTAATTCTTTTCCATCTATTTTAGAAGTGCCCTGGAGTTAAGGCTGTGAGATATGAGGAATCTTGCGAGAGTGGCCTTAGTGGCCGTGAATTGAGAACGGCTTCAATGCGAATAAATAATGTTGTAAATTTTTT